GCATTTATATTTTTAAAAATGCTTATATTTAGCCTATAAATACGTGGCAAAATCAAAGTATATCAAGAAAACAAAATGAAATAGAAACGGAAACCAACGACGTGTAGTACGGATCAAGTTTGGTGACCTATTCCAATAAAAAGCGCGGTTTTGTATACACCGTTCTTCACCGTAATTGATTAATTGGCCGTTGTCGAGAGATTATTTTGGTATTTGGGACGAGATTTAAAGGCCGTTGCCGTTATGGAGAGGTGGCCGTTGTAGAGAGGACATTCCGACGTGACCAAAAACGTGCCAGTTGTAGAGAGGTGGCTGTTAGTGGGGGTTAGACTGTATTTTATTCTATTGTATGTGATCACACAATATTTTAGAATTTTTAGCGCCCGTATAACATGTCGCTCGTCGAAGGCCGTAGTTAAGACAGTCGAAAGTTTGTGTTTTTCTATACTTTCAGCCGGAAACGTTTTTACATTGTACCTTGATATATTCATCCTGACTATGGCCCTTCTATGCTTTTATGTTTTTAATAATAGTTATTTTGGGTGTCCTGTTATCTAGTTTCTGTCAAATACATTATATATAAATTTACATATAAATACCTTATTTTGATTTTAGTTGCAAATAAACTAGTGTTGTTGTTGTTGTTGTTGTTGTTGTTGTTGTTGTTGTTGTTGTTGTTGTAATCGATTTTACGTACCCTCTCTACTCTTCTTGCGTTATTGCAATACAAAGGAATTAATATTTTATGTTGATTGACTCAGGGAAGTTCCGGACCTTATCGATTTGTTAGCAACGTAGAACCCTTCCGGAATATCCTTACAGACTGGAGAGAAGACGATATGTTTGTTGAGCAGAGACTGAGCGGGTGCAATCCTCTGGTGATTCGAAGGGTGACTGAAGACTCCTGTAAGTGAATCATTTTCCGTGACGCGTTAATATTCTTTGAGAGTGGTCCTTATTCCATTATCAGTTTAATCATATCTATAACAAAATTTCCGATCGTGATTGGTTCTCCGCACGCCTATTTTTCGCGTAATCGGCGCGCAATCATGCAGTTGTCCAATAGCAGGTATCCGATTTCGACTACCTTCGCCATTCGCACGTCACTTACGTGCGCTTTAATGGGTTCGTTCTTAATGTTTCCCACAGATATTAAAACTTGTGGAAAACGCTACTGACTTTTCGCTCAAAAGAACTTCTGAAAAGAAATGCTCGAAATTTGTTATAGATACGATTAATTAGTAATTGGACCTCGTGTCGTACAATTCAGGGAGAAATCGTGCTCGTAATTTCAAATCAGCCTCGCGTTACGCGCTCGTCCGATTTTGAAATAACTCGCGTGATTACTCCCTGAAATGTACTCCACTCGGTCCAATTACCATAACTAGTTGCAGTAATCGTCACCACTGACACCTCCACTATCAGCATCAAGCGATTCCAACTGAACTGATGTAGTAATTTCACACTTTTAAAAGCAGGCAGGCTGAATGCGAGTTTCATTCCTGTATCCCGTATGAGATGGGTTAAAAAATGCCTGCATACAAACCCCATTGCCGGTGTATCATCTGATCTGTTTCTATAATCATTCCCTCTTCCTTATGGGTGAATCTCTTTCTTAGCTAGATAGGATATGCACAGCATTTGGCGTCTTTCTAAAAAACTACATTAAAAGCGTCTGTGGAGAGATCTTATTGGACTGGGGTTTTTAGCAGAGAAAACATTTTGTTCTCAGCTGCCGTTGGATACTCCTCATTTGCCCTGACCCCAGCCACACACTCATACCCCACCACAACCCTTCATTTCCTCCTTTCCTTTCTCCCTCCCTCTATCCTCCCTCTCTTTTTCCCTCCTCTTTCCCTTCCCCCTCCTTCCTTATTTCCTTCCGTCCTTCCCTCCCTCCTCCCTCTCTCTCACCCTCTCTCCCTCCCTCGCTCCCCCCTTTCCTCCTTCCCTCTCTCCCTCCCTCCCTCCCCCCCATCCATTCGCATGATGCTGATGTAGATATTCGTATGGCACCCATAATTGAGATCTGCCTTTAATTGCCTAACTTTAATTGTTAATTAACGTGTGCGTTTTCTTTGTGCATTTTAGCTAACGTGGGGTTGAAATGGTCAGAGCTGAGCAAGACACTTAATCCAAATTATAACTGGGAGGCCGCTATCCAGACTGCCATGGGCGGTGATGAACCACTGGAGGAGGTCTGGAACTCACTTGAGTTTGCCTTTGTAGCTTGTAATATCAAAGAAGGTTTAGCAAAGAGTCGCTAAAACGTAGTTAAAGTACGACAAGGGTGATTGTTAGAGGAGACTTATTAACTGAAGCAGTAGTTTGAGTTCTTGTTCTGTGTGAAGGGCTTTATGAAAGCTGAGTAAAACGCGATTGTGTTACAGACACAAATATAAATATACTTCTCTCGGAAAATGAATTCTCTTCTTGACCACTCCTGATATTGTCATTATTATTCCCATACCCATATTTTCCATACTGTTACTGTGACTCATACGTGGTTTGAAAAAAAGGTGGATACAAACCTGTTGAGAGGCGGTTTTTCCCACGTGCCTATTTTACGTCGAAGTAGTTTACAGCTGACGCATGTGTTGGTACCTCAGTGTCCATGCAGGGTAATTTTAAAGTTTATCTAATAACGTCCCTATTTCCTTCTCTTTTAGGCAGTGAAAAATCAAAATGTTTATGTTCTCCGATACGAAATATTCGATGACATGATTTCTTTCCCTGATGTGGCGGATGATCGCCCTGGTCGAACTATGTGGCCTTCCAAATCACCAATAGCTCTGTTTGCAGTCAACCGGGACAAACGACTCCGTGCAGCAGCTATCCAGGTTGATTATAAACCAGGTTGGACAAATTGTTTGGTGTAATGTACTTGTAACTACAATTCTGTGTACCGACTTAGCTTTTTGACCAAACCATGTCGATCTCTCTAATTGAATTCATTCAAACTGATTAAGTCCCTCTAATGAGACATATGGGAGAGGTTCTGCGATCTATCAAAGATAATCTTGACGTCCAAATGACGTTGTAAGACCACTGACTTGATTAACACAACTTGCATTTGCTTGATAAAACTCTTTCGCCGAACCTTTTCAAGGGCACTGCATAGAAGTTTGGAAGTATTAGATAGTCCCTGACTGATAGAATTAAACTGTCCTTTCAGCGTGCTTTTCGCGTGTTTTCGCGGTCAAATAGGCAAATTGCGCTAGAAGCAACATCGATATCAAGATTATCCTTGCCGGAACATTCCTTGTAGTGCGTTCCTCGATTGACAATCTTCCTCTCCTTACCTCCCTAGGGAAATGTTGTCGTATTAGCTTAAGGCCCCGTCCACACTACGCCGGAGAAATTTGAAAATGGAGATTTCACTCTGAAACCGCTTCAAGTATTTTCCGTCCACACTACGCCGGAG